GGTGGGATGTCCTGGGAAACAGTCCAGCAGCTGCCTAGGTGATTTGCCCTAGGGACTGCTCCCAGTGCTTTCCATCTGACCTGGCACCGCTGACCCTGAGCATATTTTTCTTATGACAGGGAAACAGGTTCTAGAATTATTTGTTTGTTTGTCTATTTGTTTGTTTTTGCTTACACCAAGAACTCCCTTCCTCTCCATCTGGAGTCCTGTCTCTTTAAGAGGCAGGGCTATCCCTACTGGAGTGGGAATAATTGCAGGACTTTTACCCGGAATCTGTTAGATGCATCAATCTGTTCTGTTTGGGATCCCATTTAACTGTCTGTTCTGTATGTTTGTAATTTTGAAGGGGGGAAGTTCCATCTGTCCCCAAGGAGAGCCCTCTGGGCCACCTCTTGGCTAAATGGGCTATATTCAGCTAGGAGCCCATGTCCAAGAAGAAGATAATTTTTTTCTTGTAACACCACATGGCCACAATATTCCATGGACTCCAGAGAGAAAAAGTGGCCAAAATGGGGCAATTTCAATTTACCAAAACTGATGTATTTGCTTATGCAATTGAAAAAAGCCAGCTAAAAAGTTAAACAACTAGTGGGAAGCCTATTTTAATCCTTTGAGGTTTTTAAATAAAATCAGAAATACTGTATTGCCTCTTTAAGAGAAAATAATTAAGTAATTAAACATGCCGGCAGCCCAAGCTGAATCTGCTGCTCCTCTCCCCTCTCTTGCTGAGCTTCCCGCTTCAACTCCCCCAGAATTCCTGATCTGAAATTAAGCAAGTGAAAATAAGTAAACTTTTAAAGTAATTTGAAATTGGGATGGCTATTCTGGAGAATCTGTTTCAGATGAGTTCACCTTAAGGGTCACCCTTAAAAGAGAGGATTCGAAACCTCTCACGATGAAATGTAATCTTTAATTAATACACAGAGACTTCCAAAAGACAAAGTTATTTCAAAAACAGCTTCCAAAATCTTTTTGGTAACTTGAAGCTTTAGAGTTTTGCTAAATTAAGTTGATAAAAATTTATTGAGTCTCTGGGTCATTTCCACATAAGATAAACATTAAAAATTGGTTACTAAGCATAGATTTGTCTGCCTTTGGTTTCTTATCTCAAAAAAACTAAAAGATGCTTGCGTTTATTGATAAACGTGTTCTGTGCACGTTGAGAAATTTTCTGTGAAAAAAATACATATTTCTAAAAAGTCTGTATACAAAAAACAAAATGTATGTTGTCCATAAAAAAGATATAAAAAATAGAGATATTTTTGTTTGTTTTATTAAAAAAAATAAATTTGTCCTAAAGTTCTAAAAAAAGGAAAAAGGCATGGGACAAATTCTAAATATAAAAAAATAAGTGACAGAAGGTTTATAAAAGTAAAGCCCTGAGGAGTTGTATACATAGTCAAGTTGGCTAAAGTAGGCTAATAAAAAATTAAAATTTGACTTTCTCTCTCTTTTTTTTTTTTTTTTAAAGATTTTATTTATTTTATTTTTCCCCCCAAAGCCCCAGTGGATAGTTGTATGTCGTAGCTGCACATCCTTCTAGTTGCTGTATGCGGGACTCGGCCTCAGGATGAACGGAGAAGTGGTGCCTCGATGCGCACCCGGGATCC